GATGGAAGGGTGGCTGGATTGATGAGTAGAGGGACATTTGCATTGAAGGGTGGATACGGGTGTCAGTGTTAGTGTGAAATAAGAAGGAAGATGGATGGGTGGATAGAAGGATGAATGTATGCATGGCGGAATGAGATAAACAAACAGATAAACGAGAGTCGGGTTGATCGCCGAATTGATGGTTGAATAGCTAGATATAATGAACATTGCAGAATGAATGGTGGGTGGATAAATTGAAGAATGGAAGAGTATGTGATTGAGTTGAGTGTGTTTACGTGGATGGATTAATTGATGGGTGTGTGGATGGGTGGGTGGATTAATGGATGTATGGATGGATGGATGAATGGATGGATGGATGGATGAACAGATGGATGAGAGTCGGGTTGATCGACGGATTGTTGGTTGAATAGCGATAATAAACATGGCTGAATAAATGGCGAATGGATAAATGGAAGAATGGAAGAGTTTATGATTTGAGTGTTTGTGATGGATGGATTGGTGGATGGATGGATTGATGGATGGTGGGTGGATGGATGGATGGATGGGATAACGGAGTTCTAGCTGACTGATATACCACGACTCATGACTCAGTTCTACGTTCATCACAGCTCGCAAATACGACATGAAGAAATACAGATTGAGATTGTTTGCACCAAACACAGATAGCAATAACAATGGACATAAAACAACAGCAACAACAGCCACCGCAAATACATAAATAATAATTCAAATTCAACAATTACAATACCACCACCACAACCACAACCACCTGCAACAACAACTATGACATCTATAACAACAACAACAACAACAATAACAACAACAGTAATAACAACAACAAGAACATAAAAAGCAACAACAACAAAACTGCAACACCACCACTACCAACAATAACGAAGCACCACCACCACCACCAAGAAAGCAACAACCGGGCAGAAGATATTCAGAGACGTCTCCGGCGAGCACCCAAGAACTATTCGGAGACGTACTCCCGAACACAGACATACTGCTTTTGGGGGGTCAAACTGCGTATTGTTTGCTGCTGATCACACACATATTTTATATATATAGCCACCAAAACTGCCGCAAATCAATTAATTTCAAGAAAATTTCAAACCTCACTGCAAAATATCAAATTATGGGTTCAAACACATGCCCCTGTAACCCTCAAAGATTGTTCTACTTGGTCTAGAGTGTAGAGGCACAAAGCATTTTGATTGGTCTATCTCCGTCGGAGACGTCTCCGAATAGATGCTACCCCAACAACAGAGTAGTAACTTTAACCTATGACGAATGCCCACTTTTTTCCCTCCCTCAGCACTATGGGGAGGCCGGGACAAGGGAAACAACCCAGACAATGGCGCGCCTGGGCTGTCACGTGACAGAGCCCTGTGTCATCACGTGTCCTGACGTCGGAACTGGCGGAATGGAGCAGGTACGTACGTGAGGCAGAAATGTCTCTACAATAATTGAAGACCTTAGAACAACCCCAAGGTTAAGTAGCAATTAATTTTTTAGATGATTTCGAAAAAAAATTAGCAAAACCCTCATTCGTGAAATATAGTCATGGAAGTTCCGATTAGAGGGCTTAAACGGACTTTTTTTTTTTTCTAGACCTGACCTTGTTCTTGCATTTATGCTTCGAATCTTTGAACAAGACATAACTTGGATTAGGAACAGAATAGCGTTTCAATAGTCAGTGATATTAATAGACAGTCCTTTGTCGCCCCTTTCAAATGTTATACAGAACTCTATTTTGACTTGATTTTGTTATTGTTCTCAGGTCTTCAATTCTTTGGAAAGTGCGGAAGGTGTGTGCGTGTGTGTGTGTGTGTGTGTGT